GATGGCTTGATAAAGCATAATTTGAGAGCAATTTAAACATACTCAAAAATATTACAACCTACAGTGAAAATCATCTAATGTGTTGCGACTGTTTATGGAGATAGATTTTATGGCTAGATTGCTGAAGTAGATGGGTTTAATACAAATGATCCTTAAGGACTGCATATGAATTTTTTTGTAGTTGATAATAACTGATCAATACCATGTGTTTGTGGAAAGCCTTCCTAGTAAGATTTGCTAGCATGAGAAATGTGGGATGTTACATTGATGTTTGTTTAAATTGGACTAGTTTCAAGGAAAGCGATAGACCAGGTTTTGCTGGCAACCAAAACAAATTCTGTTCAGTTTCTTTTCCCAAGTTGAAACTTTCTATTGGAAAAAAATAAATGCTGTTATCTTTTCTGAAGCTAGACCCATAATCTTTTGGTTGCCAGTAGTCAGTGAGCTACTAGACCTGTTATTTTGAGAAGCATTTCATGAATACTCTGCTGTCATCTGGTTTCCTATATCTGGTCCTTAAAAGTTGCCTACCAAAAAGCTTCTCCAGAAAGTTACAGCTGTAGCTTGGGTTTACGGGTCACATAGTTCTGCATAATGTGTCTTTCTCACACCTTCTATTCTGTCTGCTTGCCTTAAATGTTACTGCACTGCCTCCCACAATTTTAAATTTGCTGTAATTTTAAGGCTGTTTCCTCTATTGCCAAAAAGGAACTCTAAATGCCTCTAAATTGGATCTGACAAAGATCAGGTATTTTCATTCTTATGCATGTGAAAGTGATCTCAAGACTGATTTTCTTCACTCATCTGGATAATACGTTCCATACAAACTGCATCAGTTTTTGGGAAGCAAAGTGAGTCCACAGTCAAAACCAGACTTCTCTAGAGCAGTGGCACCCAGCAGGGCATGAGCTACATGGCAGGGGTGGGAGCTGAGAAAGGATGTGCATATGTGTGTTTAAGGAGTGTTTTAAACTGTGGAGATGAGAGATAATGAAGCATTATGTTGGTTTCTTGGAGCTATTCCTGCTGCTTTTTTCTTCTTTCTTCATGCATTTTCTCAAAAGCCAGGATAAGAGAGTTCTGTGCTACACTGACTGTGCTATGCTGAAATTCCACTAGATGAGGTAGAAAAAAAACCCACAAATTTTAATGGTAGCACTGGAGAAAAGCTCACTGTGCAAATTAGATGCTTAAATTTTCTCTCCCTTATTATAAGCAGGGAAAGGGGCTTGGAAACTGAACTGCACTTAAGAGTTTGAGACATCTGCAATGTTGAAAACTCTAGTGAACAAACTTGACTGGGATATAGAGACCTTTTTCTAAAATGATCTGCATGCAAATTTATGAAAAGAAAAATCTATGGGATGGTTGTGAAACCCTACTTAGTGAATTCAAGTTGCATGTTTTTGCTTAATGGTTTCATTCCTTAAGAGAATCATTGTCTGTGGAGTTGATCTGGCATCTATAGAAGATCTGCTGTAGTGGTAGCAGAAAAAAAAAAAAATCTTTCTAAATTTGAAATACTGTGAGATTTACCAAAATGCTAACTCCTAATAAAAAAAATTAAGCTTCACTTGTAACAAGACCTAAATGTTCTGAAATTTTTGCTAGTACTCAAAAGTGCTGAAGCACAAATGTGAATAGATAGAAATTTAAAGAGAGGTGCTTTGTTGAACATTAGAAAAATATTTTTTCGTTTGTTTCCATATATTCCTTCAAACACTCTGAGCCATATTATGTTGGTTATTCTCCCAGTTCCTTTCCATGACAGATCTCTGTGCTGATGTGGAGGTGTCAATTGAGACCAGTACATGGTTTAAGTAGAGATGCAAGTGCTGGTGTAAATACGCCATCTCCAAATACCAGTGAGACTACATGGTGAGGACAGGGGGGATGGGAAAAGGAGGGTGGTCATTTCAGTTCATCTTTTTTAATAGTGAAAGTGGAAAAGTTCCTGGTGTTAGGTCTGCTTGAAATATGCCCTAGACTGTCCTGCAGATTGCTTTCTCCAACCACTCAAATATTTTGGGGAAGGGAATCTTCCAGAGGATTGTATCTGTGCTGTGGAATAAACAGTTGTCGTGTGAAACTGATGTGAGCCTTAGTTTTACTCTGCCTCCACTAAAATACACTTTTACGGTAGTTTGTGCAGGATCAGCACAGAGGAGTACAAAGAGGGAGCTTTTCAGTACAAAGGCTGCCTGTTTGGCCTGCCCAAACCACCGTGAATGTGTTTAAAGGGGACTTTTATTACCATGGAAACTCTCAGACAGGAAGGAATTTGTCCTGCCATATCTAGAAAATAGTCTGTAATGGTCAGCTCTTGGAACAAAAGTGTTTCGAATAGTGGGATATATTTAAAAATTCTTGTAGTGAATATGTTTTAAAACCCCCCCGAATATGCAAAATCCAATCTTATGCTAATGGGCTACTAGTATGGGGATTTAGGAAAGACTGCAGAAAAGTACAATGTGAGCAAGAGAAGTGTAATGAAAAATCTAAGTTTTACCTCTCTGTCCAGAAGGCTTCTTAGGTGTTGAACGGATGTCAATGAAATATTCTTCCTTTAAGCAGTGTGTTTATCCATCACAGCCGTTCATTGAGGGACTGTGTATGAGCTTGGCTTGAACTGCTGGAGGCTGTCCTCTGAGCACCCATGGATTAATTGCTTTTGGAATGTCTTAACTACTAAAACCCGTTATTTGACTCTCTTGACAAATATCTTTAGTATTCACAAATGGCCTTTATTTTTGTAAATCACAATGAGATATAACATTTTTTATCTAAAAGAAATTCTAATGCCAGATTCCAGAATATTTGCACATCCTTCACTGGAGTTGTACATTGGTATGAAATAACTCTAAAGTCAGCAGTCCTCCAGTCAGGAGAAGATAGAGGTAACTGCTAGGTTTTCCATGCTTTGTGTAGTCTTTGGTGTTGATCTGTGTGTTTCATCAGTAGGATGAAAAATATTTTTTCACATATTTGACCAAATTAGAAGTTTTTTTTTTTCCATAAGTCCTATCAGCAGACACTGTTTTCTCATATCTTTCTGTAGCAAATGTCTGGCTTGTTTTACTGCTGTGCTTTTCAGTTTAAGTTGTTGAACCACCTGGCTCTGGCCTGAAGGCAGTTTGAATGCATGGTATAGTAATAAGCTGATCCAATGGGTTTTGATGCTTTAAATCAGCCGTACCACTCTTGCTTCTTCCCTTGTGCTGTCATTGCTGTTCAAATACCCCTGTGGTGATGATCTTCTGATGGCAACTAATGGTTAGATCAGCTTACCTCTGGTGCCAGACTGCACCTGAACATTTTCTTGGAGTGTCTGGGGTAATAGTAGAACAAAAGTATTATGGCTTGTGGTTAGGAAGAGGAATAACTAAGGAGGAAAAATCATCATGAAAACTTTCCACTGCCCTGTCAATTTTGCAGTTGCTCACAGCTGCTGAAAATCAATGTTCAAAGTCTAATTCTACGTGGCAGGCCAGGTAACGAACAGTTTTATATATGTGTATATATATAAAGGAGTATTTCTGTGTGCCTTTTACAAGCGTTGGCTGACCTTGTTTGTGTTATCTGGGTTAACACTGTAATCTGCTGCTCTAATATGAGGACTTCCGTCTTACAAGTTGATCAGTTTAGTTTCTTGTCTCCTGACTTGAGGAACCAAAAGGGTTGCAGAGGGTAGTTCCAACCAAAATTAAAGGAAACAAAGGAAGAAGGAAAAAAAACCCACCTCACTCGTTTTGTTTATAATAAACTATCCCTGCTTAATGGCTGGGTTTCCCTCACAAGGCTTGGTCCCTTTCCCTCATCTGGGAACTGTGGGGAGGCTACTTTCTAAACTGTGTCAAGAGATGGGCATCTTAATCATGGACAGTCATTTGTCTTTCCAGAAGTATAGAAACCCCTGTTAGATATATTTCCCTAATAGTTAACTAAGTTGAGAAAGAAAGGAAATACTGGTGACATCATGTATGACTTAATATGGTTATTAACTGTGCAGGTGTTGTAAAGCTGTGAATCTAAACTGTAGTGAAATAATTGTACCATATGGCAGGGGCTTTTTCCTCAATTCTTATTCTTCCATATTGACCATGGTTTTTTCCTCTATAAGAATGTGCCATTTTGGTAATACCTCTTACTTAAAAGAAAATAAATCCCTCAGACCCTGACAGATTTTGATAGCAGTGGTTCCCTACTCATTTCTCCACATTTCTCCAGTATGCATGTGTAGTTTTGTTTCCTTCCTTATTGCTCCAGTTCTAGGCTTTCTCCAGCTGGCAGTTCTTTATCTGCTGTGCTTTCCATGAAGAAGGCAAATGCTCAGCTTGCTCTTTTCCACTATCTCCTGCACCCCTGAGGGGCTCACACCCAGAGCTTGCAGGCCTGTGTTGCATGGTTCAGTATTGCTCTCTTGATGGGAAGTCTGGGAAGCACTAAATCATCCGGCCACATACTGCTTCCTTCAGCTTTCTCCCCAGCAGATCCGTGGGCTGTTTGCAGTAGGGCGTGATGGCTGCACGCAGCTTTAAAGCTTGGGAGTGGGGATGGGCTTTCTGCCCCCACCCCCTCACCCGCACAGACATTTCCCTGCTCTCCAGCTGCTCTGGTTTCCATCTGTTACAGAGCCTTCTGGTGCGACTGTTTCCTCATCTGCTGAGCCTAGTGCAATGTTGAAGGACCAGACACTGTGCTGACCTGGGGAATTAAGGGGTTGTGGTTTTGGAGAAAATGACTTGCATGCTTATTTTCCTTTTTTCTCAGAAATCTGGCATGCAACACATGCGCATCTAATATTTTGAAAAACTTTGTTAGGTGCATTTTCATTTCTTTGCAGCAAAGGTGTTTGCTCATCTTAGCTGCACATGTGATGCTGTAGACCTGTCTGACATGGCAGCTGCCCCCTGCCCTGGGAGGGTCACTGTGCTTCCGTCTGCTAGGCTCAGAAATCTCCAGCAATGGTAAATGTTAACTTGCAGCACACAGACAAGAGAAAGAGCTGAAGCTTTATTTGCGAAGACAAAAATATGCAACTAGTGAGAAGTAGAAGGGAGCCAAGGGAGGTGTTAGGAAAGCTTGGAGTGGCCATCACTCTCCTGGCCCAGTAGCCGGGGAACTTTACCCTGCGAGGTGCTTTGCTTTTGGCAGGCAGATGCCTGCTGCCCATCCTCAGACTGCTATTTTAGGCTGCTCTTGTCTTTAGCACTTCCATTTTGCAGTCAGTTAGATTATGCCTTTCACAGATCGCTGGGCTGTTGTTCTCTCTTGAGTGATCCTGGTGAGTTACCAACATCAGCAGAGAGAGAGAGTGGGATGCAGGCCTGCAAGAGAGTATTTCTGTAAAGCAAAATAGATGGACAACAAAATGTCCATTTAATGAGTGAAGAATTGTAGCCACTTCTGACTTGCCAGTACACAGAAACCCTGCAAAACTTCATTAATTATCCCTGCCAAAGTATATGAAATTGTCAGAGAGCAGTCCCTTGCTCATCAAGTTGTCCTGGTGGGTGAGAGTAGCTTCCCTTTTTCTGACTACTGCATCATCTTTTTTTTGGAAGCAGTTGTTCTTGAGTTTTAAAATCTGTTTAGACACCATCAAATTGATTTGTATTTCAAAATTATACGTGTAAATGAGAAGTGTACCTAGCACCTACTTTAGTAATTGAACAAAGCTTTTATTTCCAGAACCTGAGTACTACTCAGTGTGTGGGAAAAGTGTGCTCTGACAACTTGGGCTGTTTTTTGAGGACTTCTGTGATCTCACTGAAGGGTTTTAATATTAATTCATTGCTAGTGTTATGGTTATGTTTTGATGATAGTCACTTAGGAGATGGGTGTTAGGCAACCAGTTGGAAATTACTGTAAAGTGATTTTTTTTTTTAAGTGGTTCAGACATTCAACTTGAAATCCCAGAGCACATTAAAAGTGCTAATTCTCATTCTCCTGAAAGCAAGATTTCTATGTATTTCTCAAATTAGCCCCCCTCTACCCCCACATCCTGGCTAATACAGTATTTGTAACTGAACCACTGATTTCTAACTAGGGATCATGCATTTATTAGCTTGATGTTGGGAGAAACTGATATTGAAGAAATAAAATATTACTGAGTTGCTGATAGGAGTAACTGTTTGCCTTTTGAGATGATAGGTGAATTGCATTAACAACTGTAATATACTTCTGGATGGTTTTCTGTGCAAGTGCAGCTGCCACATATTGTTCCATGCAGAGTGAGAAGCTCCATGCTCATGAGATGTGTTGCCATCTTCAAAAACATGGAGCAGAGGAAACATTGATCAAGAAGGGGAGGATTTTGTGAGAAGGAGAGTTTTCATTGACTTGCATGACATTCGCACAATTCAGCCTCTCAGCTGTGCTCAGTCGTGAGCGATTACCATGTTAATAGTTTGGGAGTACAGCAGAACAGTAAGAGTGTGTATAGAGGAGTCAGGGAAGAGGCTCTGCAATTTTTTGGAAAGAAGCTTCCCCACCCTGCGTTCTGCACTTGGAGTATTACTAGGAAAGACACAAGATCACGGTCAAGGGGAATCCAGCTTGCGATTTCTGATGTTTCAGAACAACAAACAGTGGAGTGAGTGTCTACAGATGGTTTAAGGAGTTTGGTTGTTTGGTATGCTAGTCTGTCTGGCTAAAAGGCTCTCAGATTAAGTAGCTACAGTATGGTATAGCAGAAATAGGAAACTAATTTAAATGGATGCTTTAGTAGTTATCTGGGTTTTAATTCATTCAAAACTGCAGATGCCTAGGTCAGAAAAGTAGGGGCAACTGGCTGGATGGTCTCTGGCTCCTGTGAAACGTGAACTTCGTGATAAATGCTGAGATCTTCAATCTAGTTCTCAAAACTGTAAAAAAATTCCAGTGTGTTCAACAGCACCATTTAATTTGTATCAGTTACATTAAAGGGTGGCATATCTGTGGTGAAATAAGATGGACACCGCTTTTGCAACGAAGTATAAATGATTGGACTATATTGCCATCACAGGTTTGAAATAGAGGCGCTCCACAGATTTCTATCTTGTAGATGTTCCTTGCATCGCTGCTTTGTTGATGTATACTTTCTCCTTTCCCCACAAATGAAACTCTGGTTTAAACATGTAGTTGGCTCCAACTCTGAAGAAAAAGGCTTTTTTAGTACTCTCCTGCACCTTACTGTAAATCTACTTCAGCTTTAATGCTGTTACCTCACTCAGTGTTGTAGAAGGTGTGAGAGCTCAGTTTTGTCCTTACAAAGATGACAGAGCATAGGTGTGAGAAATGAAAAATTAACTGTTGATCCTCAGGTAAAGTAGCATATCATGACCATAGCAACTATCTCAAATTCTTAGATTATCAACAAGGGCTATTTGTGGACCAGGCTGATACTGTGGAGCTGACTCTCCTGGTTTAAATTAACTAAATTGAATTACATGTTTATTGCAGAGAGAAAAAGTGATTTTGTCTTTTTCTTCGTAGGGCATCTTGATGTTGTGAAAAATGTAATAATCCTTCCTGTATGTGATGCTGTTTACAATCTTGAGATCCCTAAAGAATAGGGGAATTTTCCCCTTTAAGCACACAAATGTTGAAGTGGTTTTGTTTGGGTTTTCAGGATGGTTTTTCTTTTTACCTAATGCTTCAATTACTGATTACTGGAAAGGTTATAAATAAACAGTAATTCTTGTTTTGTAGCATCTTCCATTCATTCTCAATAATCCATTTTATATGGAGGCATCCAGAAGAGTTACTAGAATGCATACGCCATTTAGCACTTAGTGTTACTAACACCTAACTAGTGAATTTATAAATGCAGATGCCAAAAAATATAGGTATTAAATAACCAGAAAAATGTCTGATTCCATTTACAGTTTTGCATATAAGTAAAGATACTCTTTTTTTGATAAGAGACTGTCAATATTGTCGAGTCTAAAGCTTACAATTTGTTCAATAAAACATTCACTTAGCCTGCCCCTAGAAAGTTAATTTATAAGTAGCCACAAATCAAACACAAATGCAGCCTTTCCCAGAGGGGAAAGAAAAAAAATAAAAGGACACACATTAAGAAGTCTTAATTTTACATAAATACTTCTAGCTTTTGGTAGCAGCAGCTTTTGATATCATCACAGTGCAGCCAGTTGTGTAACCCAAGGCTGCTGTGAGAGGCATGGCTGACTAGTGAAGATTGCATATGAAAGGGAAGGTGGAAGTTAGCTTACCTGGATGCTCGAAAGGAGGATGGAACTCCTGACAATCCCAATGAGCAAATCTGGTTGCCAGCTGTTGCCATTGCTACTGCCTTGTAGACATCTCAGTGAAGCTGGTTCCAGTATCTTTTGCTTGACTCTTCACTTTTGGTTTTTGAGCTGAGCAGATACGATAGTGCAGATGCTGTGGAGATACGATAGGTGCAGTTGGTGTTGCTGTCCATGGCACTGGGAAGCAAGACCTGGGTTTGAGGGAAATGCAAGCAAAAGAGCCTCCTTAGCAGTTCATATAGAGACCAGGTGGAAGAAGATCAGTCTATTAAGTCTTCATCTAGTTGTAGAGTGGTAAGCACTGAAGTTTTTCAAATAGCATTTTCTTCCTGAACAATTCATTCCTGTCCAAGCATGGCACGCTGGTATACAGTGCTCCAGAGGAGCCTGATCCTGATGACTGGGTGCTACTGAGGTATGCACTTTCATTGCTTGCTTTGCTTTGAAGCTGCAGTCTCACTTGAGGACATAACATGGACTTCTCTGAGGTGATCTCTCTTGCTTCTGTTTCAAGACTAAACTTTGGGATAACTGTTACCTGAAAGCATGGGTTACATGGATTTCAGGTGCTGAACAGCATAGGAAAGGAAGAATGATGCTTTTATGTGTTTCAGATTTTTGGATGATGCTCTGTGATCAGGTACAGTAACTTGCAGGTTTTGTAAAATGTTGGTCAGGAAAGCTCGTTGTGTAGTGACAGCAGGCAGTTCACCCTCCTTTTCAAGTAGTTTTATGTACTTCTACTTTCATAACTAGTTTTATATAGTACATGTAATTGGAGGGACAAGGAGCTAGATTTTATTGCTTTGCAAGCATAATTAATTAGTTACCTGAGCTTCAGCTGTAGATCCAAATAATATTTGCTAATACAGCATAAGTGTTTAATCTGCCACTAATTCCTGTGACTTCTAAATCAATTGATCTTTAGCAGAGCCTCATGCATTGTTTTTCCTCAGCTGTGCACTTCATTGTTGGGTTCAGGTGATCTAAGTCTGTGCTACAATAGTGCCATTTACTAATGCTTAAGTAAAATGTTGCCATTTACTAATGCTTAAGTAAAATGTAGTATAATCTTGCAGTCTTTTGGTGGCTATCTTACTCTGGATGAGGCTTCTCTTTTTTTGTAGAGATAAAGTAACTTTGGAAATGTGTAGCATTAGAATTTCAGAATTCTTTGTACGTGTTCTAACTGTCCTTACTACGTAGCTGATAAGCAAAGGAATACATTTTTAGCTGTTGAGTTGATTGACTTTTTACTAGCAGGTTTTTGACTCTTGATATGAAAAAGTTTTTCCTAGTAGTGTTTCTACATTGCACTGTTGAATAGATAATTCATTAGTCGTTGTCGGTCTCGTTCTGAGAACTGGACTCTGAATAGTAGTTGAAACAGCTCTAAATTTGGCTGTTGACACAAATCTGTATGGTAGCAGTCTTCATATAGTACTTGATTAAGAGTCCTTAATTCTCTTGTTCTGGGATTCTTGCTATTTAAATGGGTTTGCTTGGGTTTTTTTAATGAGTCATTTTTTCAATCATACTTTCACTTTTCCAGGTACTTACAAACACAAAAGAAATTGCTAGTCAAGCAAAGTTTGCAATCAAACTCTTCCAAAATTATCAAAATAAGCCTCTAACCTTCTAGGCAGCCTGCCCACTCCTTTAACTTTCTTGCTTTTCCTACTTAAAAAACCACAACAAAAGCAACAACAAAAAAAACCCAAACAAAACAACACAAAATACACAAAAAACCAAGTTTTGTTTTGGTTTTGGGGGGCTTTAGTATGATTTAAAATTTATTTCAACTGAAAAGGATGTGTAAATTTCTAATTCTCTGCAGTATAATTGATAAGCTTAACAGGTAATTTAAATAGACCGTGAATCATTAGGAAGAGTGAAGATAGTGCTTTCTATTAGAAAATTAAGTTTATCCCTGCTTTTTGAGAGACGGTTGAGCATACCATGAAGTGGAACTGGTTTCCAGGTTCAGTTCTAGACAAGGAAAAATTCCCTTACACATCTAATCCATGAATGCAGCACTGTTCCTGTGTGCTCATCATTTATCTCTGCAGAGCTTGTGGGGAATTGAAGGTAGCTCAAGAACTTTTCTGCTGGG